CCCAGAGGTGGCTGCAGGCTCCAAACAGCAGCAAGAAAGATGAGGACCAGACTCAGGAAGAAATGTCAGGGCCTCAGACAGTGAGGCACCAGGCAGTGAAACCAGCGCCAGCCCGGCCCCAGGTGGGGTTTCCCCACATGTGGCCTCCCAGGAGGAAGGAGAGGGAACAGCCTACCTGGGTGGTGAGACCGGCAGTGTTGTGAGAAATACCTAGAGAGTCGGCTCCGGGGCAACACCGGCCAGAAACCCGGGCTCCCCCTGCCCAGCTGGATCCTGCTTTCTTGGGCCTGACCCGCAGGGTGTCTTGGGATTGCATCTGGGACCAAAGGGAATACGGAATGTTTTAGGCCAGAACTCCGGAGGGAACTTTTGGAGGGAGCCCCAGGAGCCCAGACGTGGAGCTGACAGGAGCAGGGCTGGCCTGTTGTCTCTTTTCTCCTTGTCTGCCAGGCCCCTCCATCCTTTCCAGCCCCAAACACCACCACTGCCACCTTGCCCTCCGCCTCTCCCCTGGAGATAGGGAAGGACCTTATCCAAGGATACCATCTCAGGTCGGCGCTCGAGAGGCAGGGTTCCCCTGTGTCCCCTGCCTAAGACCCTCCCCCTCCGTAGTGTCTTCATCCTCCACACGCCAACCCCCCCAAGTACTCTTTTCAAATATTATCTCAGAGGAATCTCCACAACCACCTGCATAAGGAAAATATCATTATCCTGTTTTACAGATAAGGAAACGGAAACTCAGGTTAAGTATGTTGGCCAAGGTCACACAGCAAGTCACTGGCAAAGCCAGAAATGCAAAGGCATCTGGCACCTCTAAGCAGCATCCCCTCCCAGCCACACCCTCTGAGGGGCTATTAGTCAAATGCACCAGCTGGTTATTCCGCAGATCTGGACACAATCTGTTTGTGAACTTGCATTTGATTTGCATAAGGATTTCACAAATACAAAGATACCTTTCCTATGCTGCCCCTTGCCTCCTTCTCTGTCTCTGTCTCTCTCTGTCTTTCTCTCTCTCTCTCTCTCTCTCTCTCTCTCTCTCTCTCTCTCTCTCTCACACACACACACACACAGCCAGGCTCTTCCTCCTCCTTGAGATGCCTGGTGGACTGGGGAGTACCATCTGGTCCCCTCCATCTGTCAAGGACACCTTTGCTGGTTCAGAGTGTTCCTTCCCACTGGCCACGACACAGTACTCCCGAGTCAGGGAGCAAATCTGAAGGGAAACAGCCCTGAGGAGGAGCTAGGTGCGAGCAGCCCCATTTCCGCCTGCAGTCTCAGGGCGAGGCCACCTGCAGCAAGGAGGCAGGAATGGACAAACGCGGAGGAGGGTCCCCAGCCCCAGATCCATCCTCTGTCTTCTGTCTTCAGCCCCAGATTTAGCTGCCTTTTCGCCTCCCACGCCTTCCCCGCTGCCGTCTGGAAAGCCGGGAGGCTGGGAGAACTAGGAAGACTGGATCAGGAGGTTGGGGGTGGGGTGTGGAGCCAGAGTCCTCGCAGAAGAAGCAGGGAAGGTTCTGGCACCCTGGACAGAGCACGGGTCTGGTTCCCCCTTCCTTCCTCTCAGCCTACGCTGTCCAAGACAGTAGCCAGTAGCCACGTGTGGCTCTTGAGCCATCAGATTTTGAAGGCTTAGTATGAAAAACACGTATATAAAATATCTCATTAATAATTGTCATATTGATTACATATTCAGTGATAATATTTCGGACATATTGGGTTAAACATAAAATTAATTTCACCCATTTCTCTTTTTTTTTTTTTTACAAGTTTATTTATTTATTTTTGAGAGAGAGAGAGAGAGAACAGAGAGGGGCAGAGAGACAGGGAGAGTGAGAACCCCAAGCAGGCTCTGCACTGCCAGAATGAAGCCTGACTCCAGGCTCGAACTCATGACCGTGAGATCATGACCTGAGCGGAAATCGAGAGTCAGATGCTTAACCGACTGAGCCACCCAGGTGCCGCTCTTTACTTGTTTAACGAGGATGCTAGAAAATTGCAAATAGTGTACGTGACTTGAATTTTGACCTGCGTTATATTTCTATCTGCCGGTACTGTTCCCAACCCCATCCCCCTGATCAGGCAGTTGCTTTTCTGTGAAATACTTAACCCCAGGAGCTGTGGGGTTTTTTTTCAATTTTTTTCTTAACGTTTATTTATTTTTGAGAGACAGAGACAGAGAACGAGCAGGGGAGGAACAGAGAGAAAGGGAGACACAGAATCTGAAGCAGGCTCCAGGCTCTGAGCTGTCAGCACAAAGCCTGACACGGGGCTCGAACCCACGCACCGTGAGATCATGACCTAAGCCGAAGTCAGTTGCTTAACTGACTGAGCCACCCAGGTGCCCCGGAGCTGTTTTGAACTAAATGGCTCTTTATTATACCTTGGTCTTTTGGCAATACACACCCCCACCCCTCACCCTCAGACGGACAGTACAATGTAGGGTTAAGAGTATGAACTTGAGGGGTGCTCGGTTGGCTCCATTGGTAGAACATGCAACTCTTGATCTCGGGGTTATGAGTTTGAGCCCCACGTTGGGTGTAGAGATTACTTAAAATAAAATCTTAGGGGGAAAAAAAGGGTATGGGGGCCCCTGGGTGGCTCAGTCAGTTGAGCTTCTGACTTTGGTTCAGGTCATGATTTCATGGTTTGTGAGTTCAAGCCCCACATCAGGCTTGCTGCTCTCAGTGCAGAGCCCTCTTCAGATCCTCTGTCTCCCTCTCTCTGCACAACCCCCCCCCCCCGGCTTGCACTCTCTCAAAAAATAAATTAAAACAAAATTTTTTTAAGTATGAACTTGATAGACTGAGTTGAAATCCACCCTTGTTATTTATAAGCTGTGCGACATGGGGCAAGTCAAGGAACCTCTCTGTTTCAGGTTCACAGCAGAAAACACAGGAAAAATATGAATGCCTATCCCCAAAAGGCTTTTGTGAGGATCAAATGAGTTAAGATGCCTAAAGAACTTTTTTAAAAAAGTGTCCAACATATATCAATTGCTTACAATTGTTGTGTAGGTATTATTATCCACAATGAGGGCTTGCTCCTTGCTGCAGACAGGATACTATGCCTCTTTGGATGCATTAATTTATTCACTTCTCCCCCTCCTCTTCCCGGTGACTGTTATCCTCACTTCATAGAGGAGCCACGTGAGACTATAAGAGATTCAGTCACTCGCCCAGAGCCACATAGCTAGTCGGCGGGATTTGCACCTGGTTCTGCTCTACTCCAGAGATGGACCCTTAAGAACCACTCTGTGCTGCCCTCTTGCGAAATGCCCACCGAGGTCCTCCAGAGTTAACACCTCTACCCCTCCCCTCCCTCCAGGTTCCCATGGGCATCGAGGGCCTGCCGGTCTGAGAGCCTCCCCATCACAAGGCCATCACCAAGGGGCCACCTGCGCCCACGCTGCCAATGCAGAGCATGCAGGCAACTCTAGGCACACCGACCTCGTCGGCCCTCAGCCGGTTCTCCACCTCCACCCAGGACAAGTCCTCCACTGCAGGTCAGACCTCCAGCACAGGCCCACAGCCCTCAAGGCCCTCCATCATCCCACCCCCTGGCAAGTCCAAGGGCTGGAGTACTGGGGCCAGTGGAGGTCGCATGCGCAGGATCATCGCTGAGGATCCTGAGTGGTCGCTGGCCATCGTGCCCCTCCTCACAGAGCTCTGCATTCAGCACATTGTCGAGAACTTCCAGAGTGAGTCTGTCCCTGCAGTTGGGCGGGGAGGGAAAGGCTCCGAGCGGGGAGGGGTGGGTGGGGACCTCCTGGAGGCGAGGCCTGAGCGACTGGGGCCTGGGGCAGCCCCTGCCCTCCCACACCGTGTCCTCATCCCCCACTCAACACTGCCCTTCCTTCCCAGGGCCAGAGCGACCAGATTCCCACCCGCACCGTGCCCTCTGTGTCTATGCCGTCCCCTCACCTTTCCCACTCTCTCCAGCAAAACCCAGCCCGAACCATATCTACTGAACTCCTCCTCCAGAAAGCCCTCCCTGGTTGACTATCCTCCACACTCTCCTTCCACAGCGTGTATAGGTTCTTAGTTTGTTCTGTACTCGATGCTCTGTAAATGTTCATCCTTTTTAAAGATGAGTTGCCAGCCTCCCCTACTGGATGGGGAGCCCTCCGAGGACAGGGCCGTCATTCTATCTACAGCACCTATCGCCACCCGACCTACAATATTTTCGCTGGACTCTTTTACTGTCTGCCTCCTCTCCTAAGAGGGAGTGGCTTCCTCTGTTCTGTTCACTCTTGTATCCTCAGCACTTAGAACAGCGTCTGGTGCACAAGACATGCTCAAAAAGTTTTTTGTTTTGAAATGAACGAATCAAATCATTTTGGAGTCTCTGAACTCAGGATTATCTCCTCCGTCAGACTAGGTGATCACTGAGGGCCAGTCCTGAGATTCTGGCTCAGACTAGGGGCTCCCAGAAACCAGATACTAAGACATCCAGGCTCAGGCAGGGAACACCCCAAAGTCAAGGGCTGTGTCTCCTCCCTCAGACTGGGCATCCCTGACAGTAAAGGCTGTCTCCCTTCTCAGACTGGGGCTCCCCGAGGGCCGGGGAGGGTCTTCCGTTTCTTCAGGGCCCCCAGGTAGGCCCAGCCCCAGGGCACCGTGCGGTGGCGTCCCCCACGCGGTGACTCCTGCTTTCCTTCCTGTCCCCAAAGACAACCCTATCCTGCAGCAGCTGCTTCCGGAGCACAAGCAGAAGGTCCTGGACCACTTGTCACCCGACCTGCCGCTGGCTGTGACCGCCAACCTGATCGACGACGAGAGCTACTGGCGCCGCTGCTGCACGCAGCGCTGGCCCGTGTGCCACGTGGCCAAGCACGGCGGCAGCTGGAAGCGCATGTTCTTCGAGCGGCACCTGGAGAACCTGCTAAAGCACTTCATCCCCAGCACCACGGACCCCGCGCTGATCCTCGACCTGCTGCCGCTCTGCAGGAACTATGTGCGCAGGCTCCGTGTGGATCAGTTCCTTCCGCCCATGAAGCTCCCGCCCCGACCCCGGAGCGGGGAACTGTCCAACTCCGGCAGCGAGGCAGAGGTGGAGGAGCCCGCCCCTGACCACTACCAACTGGGAGACCTGGTGGCCGGCCTGAGCCATCTGGAGGAGCTGGACCTGGTGTACGGGGTCAAGGACTGCGGCATGAACTTCGAGTGGAACCTCTTCCTCTTCACCTATCGCGACTGCCACTCCCTGGCGGCCACCATCAAGGCATGCCACACCCTCAAGGTACCTCCGGGCCTTCCCCCACCTCCCATTCTCTGCGCCTCTTGGATTCCCTCTCCTCTCCCCGTGTTCCTCCTCCTCCCCCATCGCCATCTTCCCCCTCCCATTTCCTTCTCATTCGCCGACCAAGTGTCCTTTTATGCACCGGCACCAAGCTGCGTTCTGCGGATGCAGAGATGAGCAAGGCACAGTCCTCCCAGCTCACTGGCCATTTATTCATCCGGGGAACAGCTGCACCCCAGGCCCTGTCCTAGGTGCTAAAGATTCGACAGTGAGCAAAATTATGCGTTTGTGCCCTCAAACAGTCTGGTGGGATTAAAGGGCTCTAATCAGCAATCACGTAAACATACAATTACAACCAGGAGAGGATCGCTAGGTTTAGCAAATAAAAATACAGGACACCTAGTTAAATTTGAAATTCAAATACACAACGAATAATTTTTTAGTAAAGTAGGTCCCAAATATTCTGGTTGCAAGAGGGAAAGCCTGCCAAAAAGAGAAAGAGGGAAAGGGGGACGTGGCCTTGAGTCGCAGAGACAAGGGAGGGGGTGTGTGTCAAGAAAAGGGGCAGGCAGCAATGGGGGGCGGGGATGACGATGAGGACCAGATTTAGCAAACTCGGAGGTCACAGAGCTGGAACTGTCAGTGGAGTGCTAGGAACAGGGGCCAGATCGGAGTGACTTACAGAGAGAGTGGGAAGTGAGGAAACCGGATGGCTGTGATCAGCTTTTTCAAGAACTTGGCTGTGAAGGGGGTGAAGGGGAAATTGGTAATAGATGAAAGGTTTGAGTTTTCCTAAAAAGAAACTTGCTTGCATTTAAAACCAATGTGTGTGTGTGGGGGGGGG